TTTTTTAAAAGAGATTGAATGAAATGTCCTTAACTGGCTAACAGAAACAAACACGAGGACTAAATTAGCCAAATCAAAAACATGGGACTAAATTTGCCATATAACTATAACGCAGAGACCATTTTGATATTTAAGCCTTTTAATTAATTATTTGTGATGACATAGTGTTATCGTCAAGCACTGTTCTTATTAACTATATGTGATTTTTGAAAATAGTGAGTTCGATGCCAATTTATTGGATGACCCTGATCATGTAACTAATGTATTACTTTATCCAATTTCAAGTACAAACTCCAATTAATTTTGGTTCACTCATTATCGACTCGTCTTTGATAGGCATGCAAGGATTTTCCTTAGAGTGTTCCTTGTTTCATTTTTTTATTATAATAAAAGAGTATCGAACACTTAACCTAGTTTTATTCTAACTCATTTTCCTACCATAAAATGGTTTTTTTTTCCCTTTCTCCCAATAAATAATGTATATCATGATAGAAAATTTTCACTTGTAGTGATTTTGGGATTTTATGTTAGTAAACAATCATGCTAGTTTTGTTTTGTTCATTTCCTTCTTCAAAAAAAATTCTAGTTTGACAGCATTGCCTACTGTAATGCAGTGATAGCAAGTTTTATCCTAATGAATTTTGAATTTTGCTATATTCTAAATGCAATAGTCAAGCTCATTGAAAAGTCAGGTTAGTAGTTACTATTTACTTGGTAGGTGAACCAATGAGAAAATGCCAAGTAGGAAAATCTTCAATTCCTGTCACATAAGAGATGTTTTTGCACAAAACTACCAATGCGATTAGTAAGGGAGCACCCACGCTTTGAATTGAATACAAGTAGCACCATTTTCAAAGAGAAACTGCAAATAATCAAGTAATTAGTGACCACTTCTATAAAGACTATGCACACAAAACTGCCAATGAATATGTCAAGTACATAGAGATAAGAGCGCGCCAACTTTATCATGAGATACGAACAAAAGATGTAAGCCCACAAGAAAAAAATTTGACACGATTAAAAGTATCACTAACTGTTACAACCCATCCATAATTTTATATAAAAAATAAAAAAATAAAAAAAAATAAAAAAAGAAAGAAAGAAGAAAAAAAAAGAGAGGAGAGGTGGAGAATGTGACAACCCGTCCCTAAAATTTCATTTTTTATTTATTTCAATCGAGGGAATTGACGAAAATGCCTAGAGGCAAGGATTTTGATTTCTGTTGACCATCGTCTAGAGGAACATATGACTTATTCTTTTGGCGTATTTAAGTAGTACTCATTGGTACGAACACATAGGCGAAAGCCATTTGTGAGTCCGGATTATAATGGTATAGTTACGAACGTTTGAAGTTGGTTATTTAAAGTTAATTAATTGGTTAAGGAGGACCAATTAGATAAAAGGTAGAAAAAGGATAGCAGCCCAATCAGAAATCAGAGGAAAAAAAAAAGGAGAAAGATCCCAACTTTCCCGTGCACGCCACCACCATGACCACCCAACTTCCAAGGCTGATTCCAGCCAACTACGGTGGAATTATTCGACACCACCACTGCCATCTTGAAGCTCTCATTCCCCTCTACAAAACCCACCCAAGAACCACCTTGATTATCCTCTGTATGTGGCGGTTTGAGGCCACGAAAGTTGACGGTTCTCACGGTGCTCCGGCCACCCTTTTTTATTTTTCCCGCAAATCGGCAAAGCGATGGCCGATGCCACCACTTGGGCTTTGTAGCCCATCATCCCAGGAGCAAAACCCAACCAACCTTGACCCCATTGGACCACTGTAGACGACAAATCGACATCGGGAAGTTTTAGGCACCCGCCAGCTTCATGGGAAAAATTGACCATCTTCCATCCACTTTTGGACTTCGTCACAGGTATAAAAGTTGTTCCACTCAATGAGATCTTCATTTATGTAAATTGTGGTAATTTTTGGAAATAGTTGGATTTTCCGGCGAGTCGGGGCGGCCGACCGCCACCCACAGCGGTGTGTGCGGTGGCGCGTGGCCAGGGGGCATTGATGTTATTCTTAGGCTAATTAGATGCCTTGAGTTCAGTTTTTGTAATTGTATGACACGGGTTGATTGTTGGGATCTAAATTATCTACGTTACGTTAATAGGTCATTGTATGAATCGACGATCTGACCGTTGGATCGTCACCAAACTTTAATACGTTATAGTACATAATATTTAAGGATCATAGGAACTTACAAATTGGGAATTCAATATACGGATCTTCCCGACTTGCATGCTAGTAGTGGTTATAATGTTTTATATGGTTTCTATTAAAATTTTATTTCTAGGGTCACTCACCCTTGTTTTGTTTTCACCCTCCAGGTTTTATTAGCTGAACTTTCTTATCATCGAAGATTTGTGGCGATTCTTATTATTGGAGATTCTTTCGAGAGTACGATTTTTAATTCACTCTACTGTACTTACTTATGCTCTAACGTTACGTGTGAAGTGGGTTCATTCCCGCTCACCAGCGCACTTTGGGCACTCTTAGGTTTAAATTTATTCACATTTTTCCACATCATCACTTTATGGCTTCGTCACCTTCTAGGTGTCAGTCAGCGCAGCTTGATTAGGAGTCCTAGTGGACATTCCGGGTCAGGGTGTGTCAGAGAAGGATCGGGAAAGAGGAAGAAAACAAAATAAAGGAAAGAAGGGGGAAAAGGGAGGAGGAGGAATCAAGAAGGAGAGAGAACTTCCCACAAAAATATCTCTATATCATTGTTCTGGGTTCCTTAATCTAGCTTGCTACTCTCTCTCCCCCTATTGCGTTTCTTTCTCTCCAAAATCAGGAGGTAGGCAATTCTTCCTTTTCCCTTTACTTTCCTCTCAAATTAATTGATAAATTTTATTATTTGGTTTAGATTTTTAGTATGATGATCATTTGTTTGCATAGTTCACTTGATACTGACAATTTCAACTATATGGGTTGGTGATCATTCTATTTTTCCTTTCGTTGTTTTCTTTCTTAGACGTGAGTATATAGAAATTAATTGTTTGATTTTTCAGTTGTTCGTTCCAATTATGCATAGCAAGTTTGAGAGTCTTTTACCATTTACATGAAGGAGATATATATCATATTTGATCATCCTGTGTAAGTCCAATAATTGATCGATTCTCTGACAAACTAATGTAATGTCAAGAAAAATATGGCGAAGTGCATTCAGTTTTCGCATGGTTCATTGATAATTAATATACATACTACCTTCATGACTAACAAGGTTTATTAGAGTTAGAATTTAATGTTATTACAGCTTGGCGGCATGACTTTTGGTAACTTGAAGAAAACCACCAAAAGAAAAGGAAAAGATTGGTAGTTTGATTAAAAGTAGTGTGTTTAGCACTTTGAGAACGTCTTTTACACTCTAACCTAGTTTATAAAATAAAAATATATACGTTAGTGAATGTGGGTTTAGGACATCGAATTTGGAAATCAAATCCCGTTTAGTAATTTTAGTAGAAATCGATTAGGTTGCTAATTTAAGGTTATGGAATTTTGGCTGTGATATTGGTAATTGTGGTTTCTTTTTGGATAGACAAATTAAATAAATAAAAATGTGAACTACGAATGGCTTGATCCCTATTCAGGGTATGTAGGCAATTTAACAAGGAAGTTAGATGCAGTCATAAAGCATATGAACAATTACTATGAAATTGGGACTTGAGTTGTGCTTTGTTCATAGCCGGAGGCTAGGTAAGTTAGATATATGGGTATTTGGTGGTGTCACGTGTCGATCTTGGACGTACGTTAGGATCGGGGCATGGCACTAACATCTAGAAAACCCATAGTTAAGCCATCTCTTTTCCAAACCTTGAGAAAATGACATTTTTTCCAAATTTCTGAAGTTGGGAAAAATTTTAAACCAAAAATGGGTAAAAATCAAAGGCATATTTGTCAATTTGCTCCCCGAACTTGTATAGAGCTGTCAATTCCCCCTTGAACTTTAATTTTAGCCGATTATCCCCCTGAACTTTTATAAATAGTTAATTATCCCCTTTATAAATTTCATCCAACTTTCCATCTATTTTTATCACGAGACAGCACATGACAACTGTATTGGGCCAATAATGAAAAATTGGATGAAAATTTTTAAAATCTAATGCTAGGGAAGAAATTGGCTATTTATAAAATTTTAGGGGGTAATTGCCTGAAGTTAAAAGTTCTAAGGGGAAATTGGCCAAGTATAGAAGTTCAGTGGGAAATCACTAAAATTAAAGTTCGAAGAAAAATTAACAGCTCTATACAAATTCGGAGACAAATCGACGAAAACCCCTAATCAAGATAAGACCTTTACTCACAACTACAAGAAGCCCAAATCCACAGGGCCCAGCCCACCTGAATACAACAGTAAGGCATCTACACCGCAGAAAAAATAAAGTACCAGGCAGTCAGGCGTGCCGCATGCAGATGCTATGACCCTCTTTAATCCCCAATTCTTTTACTCCCTCTCTCTCTCTCTCCCTTTGCCTTCTTGTCTTTCCCTTCTTCCCATCTTAGTTTCCCCAAAAGAGACAATTGATTGCAAATTTTTAGCAGATGTCGAGTTAAACCTCTTTAGGAAGCTTCAATTTGGCTTTCCACCCAACAAATTTCTGGGGAAGTTTGGATTTTGAGGTAAGAGCTAAGGGTTTCATTCATTTCTTGTCTTTGAAACTCTTGGAATTTGAATTTAGCTCAAGAATCTTTGAAAATTGAATCGTGGGTTTGTTTTTGTTTTTAGATTTCACTAGTAATATGCCCACGCGATGCTGCGCGACTTGAATGCAGCAGTCTTAACTACATGAATAAGATACATTTAACCTGAAAAACATTCAACATAATCATGAACGAACAAAAATGATAGATCTAGGAAATTATAAAAAGCATTGTAATTGTAGATCCAGGAAATTATAAAAATTCATCCAGTCAAGAGACAATATAATAGTTGTGGGAAGGTGAGTATGCAACCAAGAATGTAAGATACACTTGACTTGCAATTCCATTATAATTGCACACAAAAAAAAATTAAATTTTGATTGAAACATCGAACAAAACAATCTCATGTGTTACAAATTGGACCAATTAAATAAAGAATCTACCGATATGATTTTCAACCTAACTATAAAAAAAGAATGAGAGATGAGTACAAACTTGAACTCTAGAGCTTCGTTCACCAGAATCACTTCCCATTCCTAAAATTAGGTAAATTCCCAACAATAACAACAAAAAACCTCTTAGATTTCACTTTCACTTAATCATAGGCATCTCACCTTGAGACAACAAAGAGTCCACTGTTGTTGCCTCGGCAACATCTTGAACGGGAAGAATACCAATTAAACCCTTCTCTTCCCGCTGCCATAATTCATGCTCCACCAATTTGACACTACCTTAATCAAATTCCCCAATTTTATCAATTTGATAATCCACCAGTTAGAAAAATCCAACTTACAAACCGCATAATGATCAATTACCTAGAAAAAGGAAAAAGGAAAGTTGGCATTTGAAATTAACTCTGGCAAAATTGAAGAACAAAATATGCAAAAAATTTCCAGCAAAAAATAAACGACACAGTTTGGGTAACAAAGAGCATAAAAAGGAACATAATTTCCAAACAAGCAAAGTAACTGCAGACCTATAAAGTTTGTGCTGAGCTAAAACAGCTACTGATTAAGGTACATACAAAGTTTTCTTGGGATTCAAATAGAAAAAACAATTAACCAAAAGACAAATTTTAAGGCTTAAAGGTACCTGTTGGGTGAAGTGTAGTGAATTTGAAGAAGGCGCAGGGTAGAAGGACCTTGTTTCAGAAAGGAAAGATGCCTAGGTGAGTGGGAAGCTCCACCGATTCCACCTAATTTGGAAGTTGCACAAAGAGAAGAAGAAGAAAAAAAAAAGAATCAGAGGAGGAGGTAGAGAACAGAGGCATTACCATATAAGTGCCTAACCCAAAAACAAAAAACTTTACACGGAATTATGATGTCGTTGTACACCATTTTAAATGAAACTGAAAATTCATGACTACAACTTATTTTCTAGAATCTCCAAACGGAAAGTTAACCACCGAACATTTGAATAACCCGAAGAACTTCCTCGTGCACCACAAAGTTCCCCAACCAGTCCCTTGACAACGATTCAAGGTGAAACAAAGTGAATTCAACATAGAAACTTCTATAAAGAAGTACCTTCCAAGAACAGAAGTGAGAGTGCTGAAACCACAATTTCCCTCTCCCCCTATATCTGCCTCACCTATCAAACCAAACCAATAATCAATTTTAGAGTTATCAAATTTAACAGCACAGAAAATTATACTCAAACCCAAACAAAAGTCTAAACCCAAACTGTGATTTCAATAAAATAAAACAACAAAAAACCAAATTCAAGTCTAATATAATAAAAAAACCAAACACTCTATATCAAAACTCTGGAATTTTGAAACTGGTCACCTTAAATATAGAGGGCTTCGTAGAATGCAAAGAAAAGTCCCAAATCTGAAAAACCACGACCTCCTAAAGCTGAATCCGAACCCACAAACAAAATCCCCAAAATCACAACCAAAAAATTTAAACAAAAAACCCATTAAACAAACACACGTAGAATCACAGGCTACAAACAAAACCCCAACACAATCCCAAATGGAAGGAAAGGGTAAATGCAAGAAGAGATGTGACCGAGAGGGAGAGATAAAATCCCTCAACCGCATCCTCTCTCTGCAGCCAACACACTCGTTCTCTCAACCCTACCCTCAAACCGTGCACCCAATCAACTCTCTTTCTGTCCCCCTAATCATGCACCCGCCCTCACCCTCTCTTGGCAACCAACCCCCTCCCCTATCTCCCCCAAATGACGCCCCCACAACATCTCACCAGTGAAGAATCAAATCCAAAAGTCAATTACAGTAACCTATTATGGTAGGATTAAAATAAGAATCTCCAAATAGAAAGACAAAGGATATAATACAACAGATAGCTCACCAAAAAGGTGCAGCCTTAAAAAAATGGTTAATTAACAAACAACAGTAACAAAAATTACAAATTTACCCATGACGTAATCCACGGCGGTGGACTGCGAAACATCGTGAGGTTTCTGAGAGATGATCACCGCCAGCTCCACCTCATGGTCCAACAACAACACAGGGTGATGGACAATCAACATAATCTAAAATTATTTAAACAATTAATCCACATTGAAAAGCATACATTACAAATCCAAACCAAATTACATCATCCAAGAGATTTTTTTAATACCTTTGTTATTGTGCCTTTAAATTGATTTCAGCAAAACTTGTTTCTTTTTCCATAGTTTGTGAAGCTCAAATTTTTCAAAAACCTACAATCATTACACAACGTTGTCACATCATAAGTGTAGAAGAAATCACCACTACCAGAATTTATAAAGACCAAAACAGTTAGCACCCAAAAATAACATTTATTGGCAAAGACCAATTTGCCAACAAAAGTTGAGCAGGACTTACGCAGAAAATTTCCTTAGTTTTTACCTTTCTTAAAAATATGACCTAACTTTAACTAAGACCCAAATTTTATTGAAGGATCATGTTAAGCTAAGCAGCAAATTATAAATGCACTAATCTTCTTAACTATAGTAATTTAGAAATCAACCAATACAAAAAAAGTCACAAAGCTTAATAAAAACTCATGAAAAAAAAAAGTTCAGTGCATGAAAATATTGGGAAAACTAAATAAACAAATAAAATTAAAAGATAAGTGCATGAAAAATCAAATCTTTCACTCCTATAAAATGAAAGCAACTTTTTTTTGTCGCTGATGAGTCTAAAATCTCATCCTCATAATACTCAAAAGTAAGAGAAATATAGCAAAACGATAAGATTTAATTACGGCCCCTGATGGTGCGCTCCTAAAGAGAGAGACAACGCTCATACAGAGAGAAAGACAGATAGAGAGAGAAGAGAAAGATGATATGTCTCCATATGTTATTCTGGAGCCAAAAGAAAAGCTGCAGACAGAAATAAGCTGGAAGGAATCAATTTAAGATAAACGTTCAACAACAGAAATCAAGAAATCAATTTAAGAAAACTGACCAAGGTAAAGAGGCCAAGAAGCTCATATGAATGAAAGGATTTTGCTTGCTGCACACATAGACCTGTAAACTCGAGCAAATCCAACTTCAATCAGACCATAGGCCGAAAATATCAACAACAAAAAAACTGAGCACTGTTATCCATCATAACAAAATCAACTGTGGAGTATTAGATAGTGCAATTACAAAATCGGTATGCGTTCTCAACTACCTTCGTTGTCCTCAAGTCTGAAGACATGGTCAAACTTGAACTGCTTTTTCGAGGATTAGAACAAATGACCTGCAACTCATTATCTACGGAGGATTCGAATTCAACAACGAAACCAGATCCGCGTGAAATTTCAGTTTGATTCAAAGGTCTACATGTGCAGAAAACTCGGATGTTGCCCTTAAGCTCAATCACTTCATTGTAAAGTCAAAAAAGGAGAAGAAAAGCGTGGAAAAGGTAAGTATATAAATGAAAAAGTTATACTATGTCTAAGGAATTTTGGTTATCATAACTCAATGTGTATGATGTGCACATAATAAGTAAGGAAAACAAATCAATGACTGAGAAGTGATACTGTTCGCATGCAAAACCACTCATATTACTCCAAGAAGAAAATCAGGAACTACAACGAACAATAAAGAAGATGACGCTATCCAAAGGCAAATAGATAACTGCCCATTTGTTACTATAAAACTACCAAAGTGTAGTCAGTGTTGCTCATAAACTGAAGAAATATATAGGTTACAGAACAGAAGAAACTTGTGAATCTAGATACAACTAAGGCTGCACACCATCATTTTGGTTCTTTACCAACACATGCATTATTTTTTGCACAGAAATTTATTATTTACATAGTGAACCAACAAATTATTCTTGGAGTAGCATAGTGAAGTAAATATCTCTCATAACTATTTAAAGCATTACGGTCCCTTGGTATTCTTTTAACATTTAATGAAACACACAGTGAGATCAAACAAACATACAGGTTCACACCTCCAAATTGGAATGGCAATCCATGGTCACCTCAAATACAGCATCAAGACCTCTACGCTCTCGTAATTTTTCCCTAAAGTTGCCCCCCAACTTCCTTACTGCACCAGTGGTTTCTGAAAGTTCAGGCCAAAAGCTTGAGATCCTGACTAAATAATGCATAAAAATATGTATCATAACCAGAAAACCATAAGCTTCAACAGACTCAGACCTTCAAGAGAGATAGTAGATAAGCAAGCTTTCTCCATAGTCAGCAAAGCTATCCATTTTGGGCATAACTCCGGATTTTCCATTTCTCCTTCATCCGCACAACTCAGTTCAGTAGCAACAATTCCTAATTTTATTACAAAATTAAAAGGGCAAGAATTGCAGAGATTACCCACCTTTGTCGCTCACATCACTATCCACCTCGCTTGCAATCATCTCTAGGGTTTTAACTGAAGAAAAAGAGGGATGCAATCAAATTAGAAAATCTCCAAATTCTACATTTTCTTGGACTGGAAAATAAAATTAAAACTACAAGAAGCAGTAATCTTCGAATCCGAACCTCAAATTCAAACTTTTCTTGTAATTCAAAAATTTTAAAAAGGGGGAAATGAAATTGTTTACCTTGAGCATGATAAAGTTTGTTTGTTTAGATGTTTTGGTTGATAGTTTGGATCGGTTTCTTAGCGTTAGAATAGCAGAGAATGGAGAGGATTTGGACATGTGATTGACGGCTTCAAAGGCTGTGTAAGAAATGTAGCAGCCATAACTTCATTAAGTAGAGGAAATCTTGTAGGGTATGGTGCATTGCCATGACTGCTTGCTTAAGGTAGTGATTGACAAAAGACTTGAACAACTCTTTTATCCTTACTCCAGATTAAATCCTAGCCCTTCATTTGAGTTTTAAGTGATCTAATCTGGAATGTACATTTGTCACTCACACACTTACACATACATTTAAACTGAAAAAATAGCCGTTGGAGGCTAAAACCCTTTCTTCTTCTTTCTTCTTCATGCAGATAGAAGTCATGCTCGGGAGCTCCATGCTGCCTTTGATCCTTCGACTTCAGAAGTTGTTTAGCTTCTAACACTCCCTTCTAAACTGCCTTTGGGAGTCATTCCAAGCAATCCCCTCAAGTAATTGAATCTCTGATTCGGTAATGCTTTTGTGAAAATATATGCAATTTGATCTTCTGTGTTGCAATAGATTAGCTTGATTGTGTTGTCCTGCAATGCCTCCCTGATGAAATGATATCTTCTTTTGATGTGCTTTGTTCTCTGATGAAATACTAGGTTTTTGGTCATGGCAATTGCAGAGGTGTTGTCACATAGAAGTGTGGCTTCAACCTACAATTCACCAAAGTCTAAATATAAACCTTAGCCAAATAGCTTGGGCCGTTGCTTTTGATGCACTCACGTACTCTGCCTTAGCTGTGGACAATGCAACACTTTGTTGCTTCACAAAAGCCCATGAAAAAACCCTTGAACCAAAGGTGAAAGCATAGCTCGATGTGCTTCTGCTATCATCTTCACTGCCACCCCAGTCACTGTCACAAAATCCAATTAGGATAGTTGACTTCCCCATTTCATACTTGATGCTATAATCAAGTGTTCCTTGCACATATCTTAGAACTCTCTTTGTTGTCCCTATGTGTATCTTGCTAGGATTCTGCATAAACCTAGAGAGTAGGCTTGCTGAGAACATTAGATTCGGCCTTGTTGCGGTTAGGTATAATAGACTCCAACAATGCTTTTGTAGAGACTAGCATCCACAGGTTCACTTCCATCATCCTTCTTAAGCTTCTCATTTGCAATTAGAGGTGTAGAGACCAGTTTGCAACCCTTCAAACCAAACCTTCCAAGCAAGGTTTCAGCATACTTCCTTTGATGAATGAAGATGTTGTTTACCTCTTGAATTACCCCAATGCCAAGAAAATGATGCAAGAGGCCTAGGTCAGTCATACCTCTTCATCATTTCTTCTTTGAACTCTTCAATCATTGCAGTATCATTTCCAGTGTAGACAACATCATCCACATAGATTGAGACAATGAGTGTCTTGTTAAATAAGAATCAATCTCACTGTACCAACCCCTTGGAGCTTGTTTTAGGCCACAAAGTGCATTCATTAGCTTGTACACCTTATTTAGAAATGCTTCACTTATGAACCCTTGAGATTGTTCCACAAACACCTCCTCCTCTAGCACTCCATTTAGAAATGCAAATTTGACATCCAATTAATGCAGCTTCCAACGCTTCTTGGCTGCTAGGGCTATCCAGGTCCTTATGGTGTCTAACCTTGCTACTAGTGCAAAGGTTTCATTGAAGTTTACACCAAGCTTCTGTGAGTAGCCTTTAGCTACCAATCTTGCCTTGTTCTTCTGCACATAACCATCTAGGTTTAGCTTCACTTTGTACACCCATTTCACTCCAATCACAGGCTTATCACTTAGTCGATTTACAAGTTCCCAAGTGTCATTATTCTCTATCATTTCAAGCTCTTCCTTCATTGCTTTCTTCCAAGCTTTGTCTTTCTCAGCTACTTCATATGTTTCTGGTTCCACTACACAGTAATTACATGTAGCATATATCTCATCCAAGCTTCTCAACCTCACTGGAGTTGAACTTGGAGTTGTTATCCATGATTGACTCGGTTGTGAACTCATGTTTGCTTGATGTGGAGTCCCTTGTGTGTCACCATTCTCTATGGTTTCTTCTTGAATTGAGGTCTCCATAGGCTCTCATGTTCGCCCATTGTTCAGGTTAAGTTGTAAAGAGACACTATCTTTCTCTGCTACACTTGTTTCCCAATTCCATGTTGAGTCTTCATCAAAGATAACATCCCTTGATAGGATTATCTTCTGAGCTAACAGATTATAAACTCTGTGCCCTTTCTCTTTGGTACCATAACCCACAAAAACACCCTTGTTGCTTGATTTCTCCAACTTGTGTCTTAGTTGGTGAGGAATGTGAGTGTAGCACACTGAGCCAAACACTTCAAATGGAGTCTTCTTGTCCAATGCTTTAGTAGGGCACCTAATCAATAAGTACACTGAGGTGCTCACAACTTCACCCCAAAATGTATAGGGCATGTTCTTCTCATGCATCATAGATTTAGCCATTTTGACTATAGTCCTATTCTTCCTTTCTGCAATGCCATTACGTTGTGGTGAATTTGCCACTGTGAGTTGCTTCTCCAATCCCACATCTTCACATAATGCATTGAACTCAAGAGAGGTGTACTCTCATCCTCTATCACTTCTTAGTCTTTTGATTTGGTATCCACTTTGCAATTCCACCATTGCCTTGAAATTCTTGAATATTATGAATACCTCATACTTAAACCTCATGAAGTACACCCAACACATCCGTGAGTAGTCATCAATGAAGGTTAGGAAATACCTGTTTCCACTGATTATTGTTGTTTGCATTAGTCCACACACATCCGTGTGAATCAATTCAAGTAGCTTTGTTTCCTTCCAAGCCTTTCCAACTTTAAATGAATCTCTATGATGCTTTCCAAACACACACCCTTCACAAGTTTCACTACATTGAGCCAACTTTGGTATACCTTGTACCATTTCATGCTTTTGTAGATTTTCTAGACTTGTCATGTTTAAGTGACCAAGCTTCTTGTGCCATAACTTCATAGAACTTTTCACACTTGCTTTCCTTGCCACCTCTTCTAGGTACTTCAACATAAGTGGAAAGCTTCTGTTTTTCACTTCCACTCTAGTCACTAGGTTTGATAGGGACCTGTCATCATAAATCTCGACCACAGTTCCCCCAAAGAGTAGGAAAAACCATGCTTCATCATTTGACCCACACTAAGTAGATTATCATCCAATCCAGGCACTAGCATCACCTCCCTTATGCATCTTCTTCCTTTCTTGGTGTTATTTTGACAATGTTTCCATCTCCCATTTTCATTTTTCCAATAAAGTTTGTGTCAATGTCAATGAGTAATGACTTATGTGCAGTCATGTGATTACTGCAGCCACTGTCAATGTATCACACTTCAGTGTTTTTCTCCACTTGGTTTACAAAGTTCACTTGCTGCACATTCTTTGATCTACAATCCCTCATGATGTGCCCGAACTTGTTTCATTTGTGACATCAAGACTTTTCCTTGAACCAACACTCCCTAAAATGGAATTTTTTACAATGCTTGCATTGCTGCTTGGTTCTTGGAACTTCATTTAAGTTGCTGCCTTGGTTAGGCCTAGGGTTTTGATACCCCTTTCCTTCCTTTTTTTTTTTTTTGTTGTTACCCTTCCACTGTGGTTTTCGTTTGCTTGCATTAGCTTGACTACTAGATCCAACATATAGTGGTTGAAATGCTTTCTCAGTGGCAAAATCTGCATGCCTTTCGAGCCTTTGGTGAAAAGCTATTAAGGGTGCCATTACATCTTGCACACTAGGAGTTTCAATGTCTTTGGTTTCTTCAATGACACTCACTATTGAATCATAGGGCTTAGTCAAACTGATCAACAGTTTCTGGACAACTCTCTCATTAGGCAATTCCTCACCATGTGTTTTCATCTTATTTACAACATCAAATAGCCTAGTAAAGTAATATTTCAATAGCTCATTTTCCCTTATTCTTGTATACTCGAAATCTCTTATAAAGGATTGAAGTTTTACCTTTTTGACTTTGGTGTCTTCTTTGTACTCTTGCTGTAAAACTTCCCAAGCTCTCTTTGAATTGTGTTTCTGTGAGGTCTTCCTATAAAGCATCGACCTCCATCTCAAGTAGTTCATACCCGTGTTGAACCATATCCCATATATCATAGGACTTGAAAATGGTTGTCATTCTTATTCTCCAAAAATCATAGTTCTCCCCATCAAAGACTGGAGTTTTTAGCTCATTGCTACTGCTTGATCCTTTCATTTGCAGGGTTGTTTATTGATTGTTGTTGTTGAGGACACTATGTAGGTGCTCCTAAAGATCTCAACTTGCACAAATTATGCCCATAAAGTTATAAGATCATAAACTAAGCTCTGAGGCCATGATAAAGTTTGTTTGTTTAGATGTTTTGGTTGATAGTTTGGATCGATTTCTTAGGGTTAGAATAACAGAGAATGAAGATGACTTAGAGATGTGATTGACAGCTTCAAAGGCTGTGTAAGAAATGCAGCAGCCATAACTTCATTAAGTAGAGGAAATCTTGTAGGGTATGATGCATTGCCATGACCCATGCTTGCTTAAGGGAGTGAGACAAGAGACTTAAACAACTCTTTTATCATTACTACTCCAGATTAAATCCTAGCCCTTCATTTCAGTTTTAAGTGATCTAATCTGGAATGTACATTTGTCACTCACACACTTACGCATACATTTAAACTGAAAAAACTAGCCGTTGAAGGCTAAAACCCTTTCTTCTTCGATACAGATAGAAGCCATGCTCGGGAGCTCCTTGCTGCCTTCGATCCTTCGACTTCAGAAGTTGTTTAGCTTCCAACAGGGCATAAAGGGCTTCTTACAACCAATTGTCAAGACTTGTGTTTGATCTACATACATGTCAAGAATAAAATTTAAAACTTTATTACATAAATACATAAGCAACCAAGAATGGCAAAAAAAATTCATCAATAAATGAGCAAAACAATAAGTAAAATAGCCTTCTAACATCCTTATCACACAAATACAGAAGCAACAAAGCATGGAGAAACAATCTAGCAACAGAGGGATATTCAAAGGATGTAAAGCACGACTAAAACCCAATCTTGCTAAGAAGAAAACAGCAGCAAAGCATGAAGAAACACATAAATGAGCACAGTGCAACCCCCTAAGTAATAAAGACACAAACGTGACTCTAA